GGGACGCATCATCTCTTGTCTTTTGTCAGCCAAGCAGGTCGCAGCTTCGTTGTAGCTAGTTCACAGCAGCTGCAGTGCATTTAAAACTGCATCATTGTGCTTAGCCGGTGAACACCTTGCTTAAGCATCAGGATGAAGGTGAGGAAAGTTCGTAACCATCGGAATATCGGCCTTCCACGCACTTTCGTGATGACATCGTTTTGGAACCATTCTTTTCAAGACTTAATGACTGAGTGCTGATCTTCATTTCCATGTCATCAATCAGCAGTACCATGTTTTAAAGGCAGAGTTGACGGCAGCTGTATGATAAGCATGGTTTAATCGCTGGATGCTTACCACCCATTAACGCATCTCGCAAGGAAGTAAGGCGAGTGACTCACTAAGGTTCGAAGAAAATACATCCCGGTTCTGAGTCAGGCGTTCAACCGATTGAGTATCTTCAGTGAAGGAAGATGTGGTATGTTTCTTGCTTAAGGGATTCGTTGTTTTCCTCCTCCCCCAATATCGATATGAAATATTATTGCTCGCCCTTTGATTATCAAATAAAATGCTATCACCTAAATAAAAACGTATATGTGACAATATCCATATTCTGGCTTTACTTACAAAATATTAGTTTTCAACACTTCCTCACAACAGATTGTAGTAGCTCCAGATTTATACGGCATCGGTTGCACCGAAGTATTAACGAGTAATTGCAGCTCTTACCAACACTATTGTCTGTAAGCACAGAATGTAGTATTGTATTATGTAGACGTCTGTTATTCGACATGTCCTCCTTATGGGTGCGCAATAAATTCCAGTCGAAGCTCCTCCAGCGTTCTATATTTTGTGCTTTCTGCCTTCACCACTTGACCACCATTGGATATCTCAGCGTATTCTTGGGGTATCGACTCGACGTTCTTGGTCCAGTAGAACTCAATTGTTATTCTTGACGTCAGCCTCATGTCTCTCACATGATCATCCATCTCTTGGCATCTCAGAAGGCAAACATTACGCCTGTTAATCTAATCAGTTTTCGAATTTCTGTGTATGAAACGTAATCTGAGTAAGGGGACACAATTCTCCATCGCTCTTTGCGAGTCCATGAGTTTGTTCACCTCAAATTTAGTAGCAAGCCAGCAGTCAGAGCCATTGATAATGGCGGCTAGGACCGTTAAATCGAACAGTTCTTTAATCCCTCGATGGGCAGCTCACTGTCGAGCAATGATATTTTAATACGGTTAACGCTGGCCTATTTCGCCTTTCGCCTACCTGTTTCATCTAATTTCTTCGTCTAGCGAGTTTATGCACTCCACGTGACGGCGAAGGTCTGCATAGCTGTTGATTTCTTCAAGTTCATCGCCATTTGTCTAGACGATGTGGTCGTCCGTAAATAAAATGTGCGTTAACTGCCGTCCATCAATACTGAGGTATTTGCACCAGTTTATGCGACTGAGGAGTGACTCCAAGGCAACGTTGAAAATACTGGTGAGGTGGTATCTTCTAGGAATGGATACTGAGGCGTCCTGGTTTGCTGAACAGCTTGATAGCGGGCATGCAATGTTCATTTCTTCGATGTGGATCACGTAAGCAGGGTTTAGGCAATATTCTTGGGAGGCGTTCAGTTCAGCCTTCAATTCCGTAGAATCGAACGCCTTCTTGTAGTCGATGAAAGCACGTGATATTCATTTCACTTCTCCGTCATCTGCTGAATGGACTTGTGTAAGGTCTATGGTAGAAGGCCCTGTCGAAAACCGGTCTTGTACTGAATTGGGATTGGATTGAAGCCCCTTTGAATACGAGTGAGAATGATGCGGATGAAGACTGTAAATTTGCGATACGAGTGTAACTGGTCGACAGTCGATTCTGTCTTCAAAGTCGCCTTTCTTAATGAAAAGAATCCTTCATGATGTCTTCTGTATATTAGGCGTTTTGTTTCGCCTGTTGCATTCGGTTAACCGTTTGGAAAGCACTTTAAACAAGATTGTTCTTCCTGCATTAAGGATTTGGGATTTTGTGTCGTTTTTGCCGTTCCCAATGACTTTGAGAATTTCTTTTGGTTCAAGGTGTTGCAACCTTCGATTCGAAGAACGACTCTTGAACAGTGAGGTTGATATATAACTTTGAGTAGATCGCGTTCATCTGACTTCGGTTATTAGATGTTCGTAATCCTTCGCGTTTCACAATTGGAATCATCTGTTTCAGAAGAATATCTCGTTTTACCACTTTCAGACATTTCATTCGTTCTGCAGCCTCTCTCAATCGAATTCTTCTGTGATTTTCGTAGTCATCCCTAAACTTCTTCCCTCTCACTTGGTATGATGCAGTGTACACATTGTCCATTTCCCATTCGGTTTGCAGTTGGGTCCTCCTCGCCATTAGCCCTTCTCTTTGATAGGCCGATGCGCTGGTTTCCCCCTAACTTTGCTATCCGGCATATGTTCTTACGGAAGTCCTGATGGCGTTCACAAAATGGTTCACAATCCGCACTTATGCTTTTGCTGACGATCATTGAAGGGCTCATTAATGACAGCCCTCTGCGAAAGCGTCCGCATCTAATCACAGTTCCCATAAAGCGTTTATCTCTAGACTCCTTTGATTAGGTATGCTCTAATCGTAACTGTGTAACGTAGTACCCTGCCTGATCCATTAGAGATGATGATCTCTCCTATGACCGAAATGTGTGAAATTATCCGTTTCTTGTCTGGGAGTAAATATTCGATCTGTGAAAGACTTATTCTTGGCCTCTCAACGTCATAACTCTGTGGAGAGCGGTGTTCCTAAAAGGGAGGTGGTTGCTTTCAGCTAAATTTGCAAAAAAATCTCGAAATTCATTTTTTTTCGCGTTTTTTATTATTTGCCGATAATCACTTCATTGTCGTACTTAAGTGTTCATTTCCGGACCACCGTGATGAAGTGTCTTTGGATTTGTCGAGTTCTCTTTTTCTTTACTATGCCTTCCATTTCCTCGTAGAACTGTTCGATCTGTTCATCTTCAGCTCGTTAGCTTGGGCTGTATGCTTTGAATATTTTTATTGTTTTTCTTCTGTCCAACAATAAAAAAATTGCCATACAAGTCACATGATGTGTTAATA